TTAATACGGGTACTTCTTCAGATCGACGACACCATTTCGTATTGGTTATGTGATAAAGAGGAAAGGAAAATTTTCCTTTCCTCTTTATCATACAACCAATACGAAATGGTGTCGTCGATCTGAAGAAGTACCCATTATTGTGAGTAAATAAAGTGGCATATTATTTGAAAAATATATTCAAAAATATTGATGCTTAGCGCAATAATAACTTTACAATCATATTTATTGTTTATACTTTGAAAGTTAGAATAATTTCATTGACTTCAGCATACTTTCCTACTACATTTGTAGTTGTAATGATCGAATACGTGAAATAAAATTTTAGAAGAATAAGCGGATGAACATCACGATAAAGTATACTAATTTTCTTTTAAATTTGAATTACGTCAGCAATATTTTTTGTGGATGACAAATAGGAAGTAAGGGTGATTGAATTAAATGTTTTCTTTGCTATAATTTTTCCTAACAAGAGTTTCAATACATTAAAAGCCTAACTAGTATATTCCTTATCTGGCTGTGTTTGTATGTGAAGGATACACTATAATTTTAGCTAAAATGATCCGCAAAATTGTTACATAAAACTTAAAAGCTGTTGGAAATCCCTATTTGAGTATTACATGAATGTCTCATATGTTTTCAAAGAGTTCGGAGAGTACTATCAAAAGCAGCCATGCTTAAGTTTATTTTCAGATTTAACCATATTTACAGCAACGAGATTTCAAAAATTGTATATTATTTAAATCCGACAATATTCTTTAATTTAATAACGAGACTTATAAGTCTTCAACAGAACGTACAAGTACAATGAGAAACAATTTGTCAAACACAGTCATTTATTAAACGAAGAAAAACAATGTAAATCTGATCATTTTGTCTCAAACCTTTTCTGCCTTTAGAAAGATTTTCATATTAGTTATATCAACAGATACACCCAAGTCTTCTGCTCATTGTAATTTCTATCACTAATAAACATTTTATAAATAATAATTCTTTCTTTCTCGTTGTTTTTTATTTGAAAATCAATTTCTATTAATAGACCATATCAAAGAATTGGATACTCGAAACTATCTCATTTCTTTTACTGCAATGGCGTGAAACAAGATAAGTGAGAGTTAGCATAAATATTAGAATCTAGATTTAGTTTTTATCCCTAGATTATTCTTTTCCTGATATGAAATAATTCAACGATAATATATTATTTTAGGTAGCTTTACTAAGCAACTAATTTTGAAAGCCCATATCACGATAAAATTGTTAGCCAGCAAAATTTGACAATGGTTAACATCATAGATATAAGGGATAGATTAGATACATTACAGTCTTAAACTCTTTGTTCGCATTGTTCCCGCTTTACTTTACGGAAGAAAGAAAAGAGCGTGTTGAGGACAATTAAACAATAAACATTAAAACATTTCCTATCTGAAATATTTCAACACTCAGTTCTATATTTGAAATAAAAAATTCGATGCTTCAATTCCATTGATAAGAAAAACGTTTTCTTTAACACATATTCTTCTAGTATTAGCTCTGCGTGAAGCAGACTTTCAAAGAAATACAAAAAATTAAATATTTTGCGTTTTAGAAATCATATCTTAACATTTTACAATTGTGTTCATTTTACTGAACATGGCTGCAGGAGAACTAGAAGAAACAAGAGCTCAACGTGTTACCGATATCACTGATGAACCTCTTGAATTCATCGCACCTATAACTGGCTATGAAAAAGAACCTCTCGTTTCATTGGAGCAAGCTGCTAAACCACTTGTGAAAATTTTACCAACTATTGAGAGTCGTGTCTACGTTGCTAAACAAAAATGTAGGAAGCCTGCCGATAATTTAACACAGGACGAATCAGCTGCCATCATGCTTTATACGATGGGATGGCAACCACGTAACGAATGTTTGTATTTCGTTTTGAATGAAACGTTACGAGCATCAGAGCGGGACGAAACGCTGAAACCATGGTATTTATATATTAGGCTCTTTCTGAATGCATTGTTTCGTCTTTCACCACTTCAAAAAACGGTATATCGAGGTGTTCGATTGGACATGAGCAATCGTTATATCAAAGGAGAAACAATAGTTTGGTGGGGTTTCTCATCCTGCACTACATCTGTTGATGTTCTAAAGTCGAAAACGTTTTTAGGCGAAACTGGAAATCGAACAATATTCAATTTACATTGCCAATCAGCTAGAAGTATCCGTAATCATTCATATTTTCCAGCGGAAGAAGAAGTGTTGCTATTAGCTGCGACTCAATTTAAAGTAGTAGGCTGTCTTAAGCAAGGTGATCTTCACATAATTCAATTGGAAGAAACTCTTCCTCCAGTTCCACTTTTACAGCCGGTGCCGATCATCGTTCCTGCATCATCAATGTCAGTTAAAACGAGTGAGTAGAAAAAGCCAACAACCTAGAAGTAATATTTAAAAAAATCAAATGATTACCTGAGCATGTCTTAATAGAATGAATTCCATTTAGGAATCGAGATAAATTGCGTTTATTTATAAATTATTCATTTTTTTTCCTAATTTCTCTGGTCATTTTAAACACTAGTATTTCTTGATAGGGCTTCAGAAAAATCAGTTACCAAAGACACTGTGTGCTACGAGATATTCGATGTATTTATCTTGATCTTTATTTATCCTTGTACTGGTAACCTTAATGCAACATAATAGTTCCATGTTATATGAAATTTTGAAACACATGTGAATCATTATATCTGTTATCGATTTTTTTTCTGGCGCTTTTCTCATATAAATTGATAATTTGTTAATAAGTAATCAAACAGAAAAATAATAGTAAAATTTCCCTATAAACCAATATTAAGATTAAATTTAAATAAAAAAACACTAAATGTTTCCTCTAAATCACTGTAATAGAAATTTTGACGCATTCAAAATGACATGACATAATATAGAAGGCGATCAAATTAGATGAGTTAAATTGAGATTGATATATATACTCCTGGAAAAAAATGTTCCTCTGTATTTTTAGGATATTGTTGTCAAATGAACATGTTTTATGAAAAGTAACAACATATTCTGGAAGCCCGTGAGTTTTTACATCATCCTGTATATTTAGATTTTTACTCGAGTCGATATAGAAAAAAAGTTCTTACAATGAAATGAACACGCCTTCCATACCTTATTTCCACACACTTAATCCACTCATTATTATCTCATATTGTTATTACGATTTTTTTTAGTGTTACGAATAGGTTTTGAAAAAAAGTAATCACATATTCTGATATAACTTCAAACACTCTATCACCCCGTGTACTTGTCCATTTTCTTATACTTATCTCTTAAATGAAAATTAAAAAATAGTAAATGCAAGTATAGTTGACAATTACTAATATTCTATCTTTATCTATGTTTTTTTCTCGTTTTTTTTTTTACTAACAAATATTCTACTTCAATGAATACCTCAAACGAAGTTATACCTACCAATAGTGTGCAAACTCTTTCATTAGCCTATGGATTTTTATTCGAAGTACAACTGTTTCTGTAACATTAAAAGAAGATATGTTATAAATATATTTTAAATCTTAATTTGACCCTATGTTTAGAAAATTTTAACTAGGAGGTTGATAAACGATTTAGCAAATGATTAATCATAGTCGAAGTCAAAATTTCGTTTTATCTCGAAATCGGGAAAATCATGATGATTTTGATTTCATGATAGCATGATGATGTATTAAAAATATATTGACATAATTGATAAATCGTTTTTCTTTATTATTAGAGCGTTTTTCTGATCCAATAGAAACTTATCAAAATGAATTCATAAACTTTATTTAGAGATAACAATGAGAATGTTTCATAGATTCTCAGACCTTCCGGTCTGAAAGAAATCTAAATTGCATTGTTTCAATATTGTGTTTGTCTATTTTAATCGATTATTATTACTAGCAACTGTTATTTCTAACATAATAAGAAGATACTCATTAAAATTGTTCATGTTAGCAAGTATATTTGTAGATGTTATCAATTAGTATTCTTTCATATTTATTGAATTCAACAATTTACTTCGGTTTCACAGATGTGTTTCATACTCAAAACGTAAATAAAATTATAATTTAGAATTGATTTCTTTATTTCTGAGTCTGTTTATCTATAAAAGAAAATCGAGAAACTTTTTTTTGAAAGGTTCAGATGATACCTTTGAGTGGCATACGAAGATCGAGTGGCTGAAGATCTGTTAATTTTATTGCTCTATAAGGTAGTGTGCAATACAATCAATAAAAATCAGTCAAAACTATTTAATTACTTTCAACAAGCAACCATTCAGTCATATTTAATTAGTGACTAACTTTTATATGAACTAGCTCATCTTTTCTAGAGATTACAGGAATATTTTTCTTCACTATATTAGAATATTTCCATAAATTTTTGATAGAGATAATACAGACATCCTTTAGAGATAAATAAACATGTTTCTACTAGTTGATTTTGTTTGTAGTGTATTTCACTGATATTGCTATTGATGCTCGATGGGCTCAAAATGGTATCACTATTGTTGGAGGATGTGAAGCGAGTGAAGCAACGAATCAGCTCCACAGTCCTTTGGGACTCTATATTGATGAAGAAGGAACAATGTTTATTGCCGATGAAGTGAATCAACGTATTGTCAAATGGAAATCGGTTGCCATGAGTAGCGAAGTAGTCGCTGGCAACAAAGGAAAAGGCGATCGATTGGATCAGTTCAACACTCCAACCGATACGATCGTCGATAAAGAGGGCAATAGTCTCATCATCTGTGATTGGGGAAATCAACGAGTTATGCGATGGTCTCTTCGAATTGGCACAACGAATGGAGAAATCCTTATCTCTAATATTCGATGTTTTGGATTGACAATGGATGATCAAAGATTTCTTTATGTGTCTGATCAGGAGAAACACGAAGTAAGACGATATAAAATAGGAGAGACGACAGGAATTGTGGTCGCCGGTGGAAATGGCAAAGGAGATCGGCTCAATCAACTCAACTGGCCCCGTTACATCTTTGTCGATCAAGATTATTCTGTCTATGTCTCGGACTGTTGGAATCATCGTGTGATAAAATGGGCGAAGGGTGCAAAAGAAGGAATTGTTGTCGCCGGTGGTCGAGGAAAAGGAAATGCTCTAAATCAGTTGTCTTTACCTAACGGATTGTTCATCGATTCATCAGGAAGTGTCTATGTGGCAGAGGGAGGAAATAATCGAGTGACATGTTGGCGTAAAGGAGCAACTCATGGAGAATTGGCTGTCGGTGGAAATGGTGAGGGTTCCAGACCAAATCAATTTAACTATCCTGAAGCTTTGTCCTTCGATTGCCATGGTAATCTTTTCGTGGTCGATAATAGCAATCATCGAGTTCAAAGTTTCTCATTCGAAAAGAACGAATTGCTGTGAAGTTTGACTTTCTAATGTTTGCTTGCTTGTTTTTTTTTCCAAAATTGAAACAAATTGCTTTCTTATCATCACTTTATTCGACAGTCTCAAGACATATTTCACTACACAAACGCGGGAGCGATCAGAAAACATTCTTGTGACACTATAACTAAACAAAGAAATCATATGATGCAACTAGATCTATATCGTTATAATGCGAGGGTATGGGTTTCGGCTCGATACTAACCGATGGACGCTAGAGCGGGTCACTGACGCGACCAATTAAACTATTGCACGTGTCATCGGTCAATGCAGACCACACAGAACTGAAAAAAACTCTGCTTATCATCACATATAAGAGAAAATCGAACATTAGTTTACCCTCAGATCGATTCATCAATTGATTCCATCCATCTCATGATCATAGTCTGAAGAGGGAAAAAAATGGTTGATTCATGCGCAACGTGTGCCCTCCCCGTCTCTTCTTACTTTAGTTATAAAAAAGGTAGGGCTTTATTTCACAAAGAAATTATTGAAAAACATTTTTCGTTTTGTTCAAGCAGTTGTTTGATTCCACCTTGTCCTCGATTGTAATCGAAAATAAGAACAACATACAAAACAAAGCCGTATTAATATAAAATATGTGTAAAAAAATAAGTAATGTGAATTGTAGAGAAATTTTATTAATCAATAGATATTTATGTTTTAATGGGAATTTTCGATCTTTGTTTATTTTTATGATAATTTTCAACCTTTTACCATAAAACTTAGAAAATCGATGTCACAACGGAGACATATATTCAGATAAAAGAAAGAATGAAAAAGAAAAAGAAATATGTTCAAACATACTTATTTTACTTGTACATTGGTAACTTGAAACATCATTAACATTGAACATCATAAACGATGTTAACATGTAAATCTACGTGAAATAATTCACATTGAAAAATGAATTTAATAGGGTGTGGGATGTGGGTGTGGGTGGGGCTATAGATGAAAACACGACCCACACCCTAGACCCTACTAGACCCCAGTATACCCTAGTAAACCCTACAGAATCTGATAGACCCTACTAGACTCTAGTAAACTCGACAGGCCCTGATAGACCCTACTAGAGCCCAGTAGAGGCTAGTACACCCTACAGACCCTGATAGAACCTACTAGACCTCAGTAGACCCTAGTACACCGTAGGGGTGTGGGGTGTGGATGAGGGTGTGGGTGTGGGCGGGTGTGGGTGTGGGCGGGTGTGGGTGTGCGTGTGGGTGTGGGTGTGGGTAGGTGTAGGGTGTGGGTGTGCGTGTGCGTGTGGATGTGCATGTGGGTGGGTGCGCATTTTCTCCTTTGTCTTCAACCACACCCACCCACACCCACACCCACACCCATACCCACACCCACAAAAGAGGTATCAAATGTTAATATTACACGGTACATAAAAAGGGGAGAAAAACTATTCGAATGCGCATAAGAAATGAGCTTGTAAGATAAATGTAGATGAAATTCTGTAAAAAGGATTGATCAACTTTGTTCTTGTAAAGCTTGCAGCGTTTTCATTGATGGCATTGTAATAGTAATGTTGGTACCGACTGCTTTCTTCTTATGAATATAATATAGTAGGACGACGCCTAACCCAATAACCGTAATCGTCGTAAGGATGGTACCGAAGAAAGTTGTATGTTCTTTCCAACTTTGAAAAGCACCTCCTATTACTGGTTTGGGTGTATTTGATATGAAGTCTATTACCGCTTGCATCTCCGAAGGAATATATGGTAATTTAGCCCAATGCGTTTCGTTTGCTAGGTTCGCTTGTAGGTCTAGCAAGTCCTTTTACATGGGACTGACTGATTCGTTGTATATTAAATGTATCGGCTCACCGACTGTGAGGGGTAATCCTGGTAAGAAAAACCGGTCACAGGCTAACGAGTCTGTATTCATTGTTGTGATCAATGCCGCTGAAGGCAGTACGATTTCTTCCTTCTCGTGAAGCGAGTGGTGATCTATATCAGATGTGGCGACTGAATGACATTTCGTCGTTTTGTTAGATGATATTGCCCAGTGTTGTCCGATGCGGCTAACGAACACTGCGTCAGGATATGGCTCAACACGTCAATCATTTAATTTTGAATCAGTTAGGATTTGATAAAGACAATCATTTTGTGATTCCTTACGTCTAGCTGGGGTTTTCCGGCATGAAGACATCTGCACAATATCACAAGCTTTCGCTTCTTCCTTTGACCAACGAATAAATTGTTGTGATTTGGGTTCAATTCCTAGAAACGCAGGCATTTGAGCCAATCGCACTCGTTTATTGTCTAGGTTAAATGGTACTGCTAATAGTTCGTATATTGAGAATGGGGCTTGATTAATTTTACAATATCAACGACTGGTATTGTGCATACAAAATCAGGGTTAATTTTACATTATTTATCAGAATATCGACCAGCGGATAAAATCGTTACCTTTACAGTAACTATCCCGATGGTACCAGATATGTGTTATTTAATACCGAAAAGAGCAAAGACGAAAATTCCTCATTGTCAATCAGATTCACCCCACATGCAGAATCAAAGAAAAGATATCATATAAGATAATATGCCTATTGGCACAACCTGATTTAAATTTGTATTTAGAAAATTCGTCTTCAAAGTTTTTCATTTAAATTCATTTCGATTGATTCTTCTAACGCGGATTTTTATGCCACCTGATGAGATCCTTTAATTTTAGGATCGAAATCCGGATTGTGGTAGATTTTCTTCAAAACTCACTCTCTATGCATGATAACATTCATTAGTCTTATCATTTTAGATGAAATCAAAAAGAAAATCATTTCCGTGAACACATTTTGTATCAAATATACTTATTCCGTATCTACGAGAATTATAGTAAGGTCCAAACTGGTCATGGCTGCTTGTCTCACTCCCATGATAAGTTTCTAATGTTATTGTATATTGATTTGATAAAGAATTCGAATCTCTACGATAACAAAAGTAGTTTCATCTAATTTGGATTTTGATTTAATTCAAATTAGTAAAGCCATTTGTGGAGACCTTTGAGCAAGGTCGAAACCAGTCATGGCTGCTTGTCTCATGTCACTCATTTTTGGTGCTCAAAACACATTTTTTCCAAAACAAAATATTTTTTTTCTTCAACGGGAAGGGTGTTATGACATCTATTATGTGAATAGTTATCTTTTGATCTTTCTCTTTCAATCTCTATTCTTCTTTCTTTCTTTCATCTCTGTTTGATATATATATGTGAAAAGTATGGTTTTTCTTTGGTAAAAATAAATAGAGGGTATGTTTTTCTTAAAAGAATCACGCCTTTAAAAGAGAACATAACATAAACATCTGATAAATGTATTATACAAACATTGCCGTATGGAGCCGTACATCAAATATTTACCAGCTGGTCGTTCAAATAAAAGAGTCTTATCCCTCATTGAATCTGATCATCTTACTTATCTGGACACTCTACTCGACTTCGTTCTTTCCAGCGCTTAGTTCACAGCCTCTCTATGTCGGTTTCTCTCCTTGTTTTATTCACCTTCCCTCCTGCTTCCCTTGTTTCTTTTTCTTTATCTCTCTTTCTGCTATAAACTATGTGAACGTGTTCCATGAATGACAATCAGCGCATCATGGCGAATTCGTCATCTTTTGATATATAATAAAGTGTTTAAAAAAAAAAGATCGTCAACGTCATATTAAAACGCCATCTGTTGACGCTAATACCCAGGTCGAGATGAACGGTTAAAGAACGCGTTCGGAACATAGCTTGCGAACGCGTTCCGAACAAGTAGCTCGGAACGCGTTCGTGTGTTCCGAACGCGTTTGCAGTAGCGTTTCGAGCACGGCTTTTCGTGTTCCGAACGCATTTTTTATACCATTTTATTCAGGTTCTCTCTGACGTTGCACCTAATCTCGACCGCTGAATTCGACGGTCTACATACTAGTACTCCAACTGCTCTCACAAAGAGCACATTTATTTTCGTATATAAATATTTTTACAATTTCTGAAGTAGACATTCACGCCAAAAATAAGAAGAAAGTAAAATGAAGAAGAGAGAGATAAAAAAACGTAAAGTTTCACAAAAGCACAGCTATTTCATAAAGATACACTTCGAGTAGTGAATCAAGAAACAAAAGATCAAGAAAAAGTTCTAGAAACAAGAGAAAAATTACATGTTTGAATATGAATGTTAGTTTCATTTATTGTTCACTGTTGGTAATGCTTACTGGTTCTTCATCTTGGCTACTTGTAGTTGGTTTAGTATTTTCATTATTTGTAGTTGAATTTGTTTTTGTAGAAGTTGATCTTAAAAAATTAAAATCTATTTCATTAAACGTTACTTCAGTCAAAACTTACGATGATTTTTTTTCTCGAAATGAACGCCCTCGCCTTTAGTTACCACGAACAATTTTTCCTTGATTATTCCAGAATCCTTCTATTTTCCCGTTGTCGTTGTTATAAAAATAAGCGTTGCTGGCTTCTGAAACAGATATATAAATACTATAGCAATGATACCATGATATAGGTTGGTTACCCTTTATTTTCATTGTTCGTTCATTGATTTGTTCATGTTGTCGGTCAATTATTTCTTCTTTGGTGAATAGTTGATTAATTAATGTTTTCATAAGACCAGCAGGAGTTTCAATTATAATACCAGACAATATATATCGTCCATTGTAATTCTAAAATAAGAGGTAATAAAAGAGGAAAACAGTAAAACTTACGACGATTGGAAGTTTAGCAGGTGGTTCATATGTTGTTGGATTCTAAAACAACAAGACGTATATTATCAATTAACTGTGGCGCTACTATTTAAAACTAATGCTGTAGGCGACATTTGTTATATATTTCACATACCATATTCAGCTCTAACGAAGCATCATAAAAAAAGTTGCAAACATCCAATATTTTCAGTTTTACTCGAATTCTTTCTATCTCTCAAATCTTAGATTTTTTCAACAGAGGGTTGATGTAACTGATTAAGTATAACTTCATTAATTCTTACTTATATAATGCTTGTTTTAAACTTGATCAAAAACTTAACTTAGCGTTCGTTCTCTCAACTAAATTTTTAATTAATAATCTTAACAAAAGAAAGCGCTATTATCTTATGAAAACGTCGAGAACAAACTTGCATTTGCTTATCAACATTATCCAATTTTTTTTCCAATGTACTTCCTTGTTCTGTTAATATATCAACTTTTCGATTAAGATCTTTGAACATATTTTTAATGATTTTGATATCTTCCATTGATGAACCTTCTGGTACATCATCAACTTGTTCTTGTAAACGTTTTCGTTTCACTTGAGGTGTATAATAAGCACCTAAACAAAAAACAAGTTTAATGGTATGCGAATATTTGTTTACCAGTATTCTTGTTGTGATATGGACGTCGAACAGTAGATTCGCATCGTTGTTGAGTATGAAATGGTACATCTCGAATAATTGGATAATCTGAAAAAGAATTACATTGAACTTATGGACATCTAGTATTGAAAAAATAAGTTTATTGTCATCAATTTCATTTTCATCATCTGAGAATTCATCCATATCATTGATAAACGACGTTTGAATATTTGAAGCACCAACTGGTAATTTTCGAGTTCGACCGGGTGTAATAGAACCAGTGTAACGTGCCATCTTTTTAATATAAAACATTTAATATTTAAAATGGTACAATGGGAAAAGAGAATAAATAGACTTACTTAATAAGAAATGAACAACTTTTGAATAAATAATTAATCTAAAAAATGTAAAGTACTCTTAATAGAAGTCTTACAATCGTTCATTTTTTTCAATCATGTTCTGTTTCAAGTTCAATTGGTGTACACACAAGAAATTCATTATCAGGTGGAAAAAAAAGACATTTTGATATAATGCATGAACATGGAAGAATGACAAGATGAGATGTAGAACGACGTACAATTGAATAGTACTTATCAATGTACATTGACCAATTTGTAATCTCTTCCACTGGTTTCACAAGGAAAGAAAACTTGTTTCTCGAATTAAGAAATCATTTGAAGAAAAAAAATGGCTCGTTTTTTACATAAAAGAAAAACAATATTTGACCATAATATAAACCTGAATTTGTATTGTCAGTGTCAATGTTCACACGGACATTGTAACTGTTACAATTTTTACGACGATTGTACATTAGTGAATGATAAAGTGATAATCCACGTCGATATCTACAATAATATTTCAATGATACATCAGGAAATATGCCAAACATTTGATTGTAAACCAAATTGAATTCTTGTTGATAGTTTTGCATCATGTTAAAATCGAAAAATCTATCATTAATAAGATGTTCATTAGTAAATAATGCTGGACAATATTGCACTTGTTTTGATTGAATTTGACTGAATACAGACCACCAAAACGATATTTGTTCACCGAGAGCAATAGAGCCGTTAGCTAATTTTGCAAAGTGCTGTAAGCAACTTTTTGAAGCAAATAAACTAAAAAAGAAAGATATAAAACTATATTGTGAGAAAAAATTTCGTGAAAAATTGAGACATTTACCTATGATAGGCCAACCCACCATGATCCAATACTTGCTGCCATAGATGGCATAATGCATGAACTGAAAATAATTCTTTACATTTATCGTACAGAGAAGAAAATAAACGCAAATATGAATTTATAAATACAGGTACTTGTAAAATTTCATCACGGTCATCAAAGTGCCGTAATACACGAATGTAGATAAATAATAAAGAAAAGTGTGATACATAAACCTCTGGAAATGCATGAGGTATGACAAGACGTAATCGTACCAGAACCGGCATCGCAATATACATCATAAATGTTCGTAATTGCGAAGCTTTCCATTTTCGATATTGAGCTAGATCTCTTTGGTGACGATTGAATGAATGTGGATATTCAATTTCATTAAGATAATTATCGATAAATGTTAATGCATTTGGATCACATTTAATAACAAGTAACGCTCGTCGCTGTGCGATTCGCTTAACCCTCGACTGAAGAGTTTAAAGTAAGGATATACTATTCTAGCTTGCCCGGAACAACTTTGAGAACATCAAAGTACGGAATCTTCTCTACCACAATAATGTTATCATTGACTTTCAAAATATGCTCAGCTTCAAATGATAGTAGTATCTGTATATAAAAGTGCTATTTTGCGCTAATGTTTTGATTAAATGAAATCTGACAAAGTTGTGTGTCGAAAATTCTGATTTGTATATCGTAGGAGTTACAACAATATCTTGAAATGCTCTGAGATTTGTAATATGAAAACAATGTGTCTTGCAATAAAAACTTATTGAGAAGATGAAACAGCGACCACACATATCGTAGCATTAGTTGATAAAACCATTTACTGGCACAAGTATTATTCTAATTAACAATAGTAATGAACTGAAAGAAGTTGCTTTCAATTGTCAGAATCGGATATGTCTCTCCTAGACTTGTTCGGATGTCTCTCAGTCAGAACACATTTATACCAAAATATTAGCAGGAAAAGTGCTTAAAGCGAAACATGATTTCATTGTTGAATTTATGGGCCATCCTAATCACTTGGTACCATAAAATGATTTAATTAAGAGTATGAGATAGTATTGTAGCGAAGTGTGTTTATTCGTGAAATTCGATAAATAATCATGAGTTACAAAGATATTAGATTTATAATGAAAAAAGGAATATGTGATGAATACATAGCACAAAAGTAGTACCTGGATATTTCGCATATCATTTCATATGATAATAAAAAAGAGACTACTGCTAATACATGCAATACGAACAATGAAAAATATTCAAATGTATTGATCATAGAGTAAGTAATATAGGAAAGAAAATCATATACATAAAAATTGACACAAACGAGAGCAGTTTTCATGCAAAGCAGAAACGGTGTTACAACCATTCTGGAAAACGCGCTTGGGTTTCTAAATATAGTTTATCGAGTCGTTCAATTTCTGCCAGCTGTGACTTGCTGGGTTTAATTAACAACACCTTGTAATCGAAATATCGCAAAATAACCAAATCAGTCAAACGTTTTACCCGCGACAAGGGTACATAAACTGCAGCAATATCATCAGTTTCATTTGGCAGCTTTAAATCAATTACAACTTTATTCAAGGTTTGACCTTGACTCTTGTGGGTTGTAATGCAATAAGCTGGTACAAGTGGTAATGCGCGCCGTTTAATGGATAAAACTGCTTTTCCATTTGATTTTGGCTTCTTATCTTTTGGAAGAATATCACCTATATCGACTCGAAATGTTTGTTCCATTACCGGTATTGGAATCAGCTTTGGCTGAAGTTGTTCTAAATTGCATTCGATCTTTGATTTGGTAATTTCCACCAAGGCGTATAAAGGTCGATGGACATACCGTGCATTCTTGGAAAATTCTTCCGAAATAATATCAGTTGACACTGAATCTTCCTGATAGACAAGTTGCCGAAAGATTCCGTTCACACCATTGATAAGCCCCAATTCAATGGCAATATTTTGCGTTAAAATCACAGGCATTCCAGGAACAAGAGGCAATAGACCTGGTAGATGCTCCGTTTTGCTATCAGATAATTCTAATAATTTTTTAATAAGTGCTCGATCTTCAATTGGTTTGCCTTTGCAGGCGTCTTGGGCAACGCATACTATAGGTGCTTGTCCGATTTGTTCTGCTTTGTGACTAACTGCCTTGTGGTTTAATTGTGTTCGTACTTCATTACGAAATACGAGAATCGGAGCCTAAAAAGATGAAGATGGTGAATTGTCTAAAGCTAGAAAAACAAATTTACTTTATTCCATGGTGTGTTACTTAACAAGGGTACAGAAGATTGCCCCACTACTCGTGTTAACAATAATTCGTAGTCATCGTAGTTACATTCTCCGCGACGAAGCCGTTCGAGCAGCTGAAGGTAACGTGGATCCTCTGTTCTCATCTGTTGAGTAAGTTTGACCACACAGTTGATTTGGAGAATCAAAGAACGTGCAACACGTTGTTGAATTTGTTTTTCAGTTGCTATCTTGTTTGATTTACTTTTAACCGGTAAAGTGAAGTCTGTATGTAGGGGTACATCATATACAGGTCGATATTGTAAATAATCGCCGAAGAAGATGACATTTACACCACCAAATGGAACTTGAGGATCAGTATGTTTTGCAGCACATATAATTCGGTTGAGTTTCGCAAGTAGAGTTAAACCAACCATACTTATTTCGTCAATTAAGAGGTATTCAACGAGGGCCCATTCTTTCTCAAGTTTTAAATCGCCTGGTTTAATCGTACGGGCTTTTCCTGAGTTACGCTGTTCACCCAAAAATGAATGGATGGTCATACCATCGATTTCAGCAGCGGCAACACCAGTAGGTGCTAACTTCCGCATCATTTGTATTCTTTTTGTAACTAAAAAGTATTTGGTAAGGGCACGAATCAATTGCGATTTTCCTGTGCCGCCACATCCAGGTATGCACATTATAAGCTGACCATTATTGTCACCTGAAAATATAATGTACTTCAATATGTGACGACTACTTTTATAAAGATTACCTGTATGACAACGGCTATCACCATCAAGATGACCTGTTATGATCATAAATGCAGCCCGTTGTTCTCTGTTCAGTGTAAATTCATCGGCAACACTCTTCTGAGTACAAGAGTTCGTTTTCACTGATATTACTGGAGGAATCGAGCCATAGTTTTCGTATGTCTTCGTATTAATATTGTTTAGAGTCACTACAGTGGCAACAGCACTTCTTGCAGTATCCAAATTCAACATATCATCATCGTCTTTGTCAAAGTTGCCCGTAATCAAACCTCTTCTAATCTGTTCTTTCTCAGTTTTCAGCTGTTCTTGCCACTTTGTATTTAATCGAACAAGATTAGGTGTTGCAGAAATGAATGGTACCAATGATTGATCGATACGATCGCTCGGTTCATTTAAAGAATATTGGTCATATGCTGCAACAATTTTTTTACGATTACTGTCGAACCTACAGATCACATTCAAATAATACTTACTGTTCACACTGTTAAATCTTCCGACATTCTTGACTGCTTCGATTGTTTCTTCAATATATTTGTTTTCTGTTGAGTTTTTTGTAGCATTGAACATAGCAACTGTGTTTTCATCCAAATTACCTAATAATTCAAGTAAATCGTCACTATCATCAGTGCCATATTCACCATCGACTTGATTAGTCGGTATCAGTACAGGATCGACTAAGCCATTGTCGATTTGTGCTTCGGCGATAACTTGAAGTAAATGATCATCGCGGTCCTTTTTACATTCATGCAAAAGTTGAATGTTTTCTATTATTGTCCACGAATTACTCAAAATAAGATGTTGTCGAGATTTAAATGCATCTTCCCATGTCTGACTGATGTCACAAATATCAGCCACAGTACGCCAGGGCACGAAAAGTGTGAGAATAGCCCGACAATATCGTTCTCGAGTATCATCACGATCTTGTCGAGGTATCTGAGGCCCATAGAGAACAGGCACATGAGATTCACTGTACTTCATCATTAAATATGCTGTAGCCTGAGGATGCTGTTTTTGAAAAAGAAATCGTTCATTAGGTGGTCGACCTTTTTGGGTAATTTTTTCTTCTATTGATCCCGCTATCTTTGATAAATATTTCAGATCTGTAGTATTCATTTTTTTCTTATAGAATATGCTAACAAAGTCATATAAGCACATTCTGTTGAGATTATCGGAGCGATATTGATAATCAATTCGTGTGTTAACGAGTACATATTTTTTGTCGTGTTCAGCTGATTGAATTTGAAAGTGTTCTTCTTCGTTGTTATCATTATCAATAGCTTCATCGTCATACATATCATTGTCGATCACATCTAAATATGAGAAAAAACAGTTATAGATTAATTAATAATATTGTAATTTAGTCGATCTTTGCATTTGCTTCTTTCACGCAAATAGTTAATCAAATGTTCAGAAGATTTACTTTCGTATAGATGAGCTGAGGTACTTTTCTCTCTATACTAGCCCTCGAATTCTACTTGAGAATAAACAGTGTGTCAGCTGCATGTCACAAAAAAGAATGAAGTGGACTATTTATAAAATATTCTCATCGAAAAATCAGTGAACGATTCAATTTCGAGGAACTTCTCTTATGAAATATTTTATGCATTTTATATAACTAATAACTAAATATAGTTGTTCGTTTATCCTTGGTGCTTTCGTACAGAAACCTTTTTGATCTAGTTTGATCAAGGATACATACTTTTAAAACATCAAATCAGAGATAAATATACTCACCCTGTGCTGCAATGTCCAATTTTTGTTGAGCACGCGTTTCATTTAGTTGAGTTTGTAAAAATCGTTCAGTTTGAATTAAAAAGAGACCTTGAAATCTATGCGTTGTATAGTGATCATCCCAATTCATAAGATAAGAAGCTACTTGAACGCCAGATAATTCTTGTTGAGAAGCAAGCATATTATAACAGCGCAGAACGAGTTTACGAGACTTCTCGATTGCACTTTCGTTATTAGTTTGATTCCTTAAATTCTGGAGTGATGTGATGCTTTTTTGTACCAAAGAAAATGTATCATGAAACGAGAGACTCGTTTTTGTCACATAATCAGTAATGTAATAAACAAGAGCCTTTGCATCGCTACCACTCCAAATAAATTTAATGTCCATATTTGAGCGGCAAGCTGCGATGAGATATTCATTAAAATTATTGATCCAAGGATCGGATCGTCGCATACAAATATTCCCAGTAGCAGGATCTATTGTTGAATTGGATACTAATTTACGCGGCATACGCATTCGGCACGTTTTTTTATCACCTCGATTAGCATTCCAGTATTTGTAGCACGTATCACTGTGTTTGTGAAAATTACCTGTTTCGACAAGTTGTACTATATATGCACAAAATCTTGATGCAAAATTAGGTGATGATGGATTTGGGGTAGGTAAGCAAGCAGGAATTATTTTTGATTCATTACGGAAAGTATTCGTTGCTAAAAAAATAAGTCTATACTGTACTTGTTTTTATAATCACTATACACATACCATAATTCGGTTGACTATGCAACGTTGTTTCTGAATACCTTTTCGGCGATGGTGTAGCAAAACTAATCGACGAAGAAGATTGCTCCTTCATCGGTGTTGATAGAATATTGCCGAAATTACTTGTCTCTTGCTCCAATCCTGAGAGATCGATGGTTTTTGAAGCTGAATATATGTCATCGCGTGACAATCTTGAGGGAGTAACGCACACTCCTAATACTAAAATAAAAAAGAATAAATTATGTGGGAAAAGGATTAAAACTTGTTATACTATCTGGATTTTCAAAGGTACGTTTGCCTTTGAATTCATCTAAGTCTTCTTTGATAATATCTTCTAAATATGCTTTTAATTTTTCGCGAAAATCAGCATTTTGAATTTTTTCTTTCAAATCAGATGGCTTAAAATCATGATCAAGCCAAATAAGAAGGTGTAAATGAAGAGAGCCACGTCCTTGATTTTCAACAGTACCAAAATAAGCTTTTATACGTCCAAGAACACCACCAACTATCATAGTATCTAATATGTTAGTGATTAATAAATGGAAAAACTTGGCAGTAGCCACGGGATGCGAAGCAATAATTTCGGCTCTTTTATAAGTCGTCATTAGTTGCTCGATTTGAATATTGTCTAAATCAAGCTTGACACCGGCAAAATAGAGTGCCACAGGACTGTGAATATCAGCTGGGTTCAAAGTTAGAAAAATGCTTGGTAGACCTTGATTATAGATTAGTGCATGAATACGAGTGCGCAAAGCTGTTCTTGAATACGTTGAACCCATAACTCGACCACCGATGGTTTTAATATGATTGAGTAATTTATGTAATGATGCATTGGATGTCGAGCTAAACGTATTTTTTGCACTTTTGTTGAGAGCCATTTCAATATCGTTACTGTTTAATGACTGAATTTCCTGAGCAGATGCTTGAAAGTAAGGTTTCGTGGCTATCAGTTGAGCATGAAAACAAGCATCACGTCGTTGCAAAAGATTAAAAACTACAAATATAAAGCTATGATTTGTTTCAAAGCGTCGATCGTTGTATGATAATAGGTAACGTATGTGTTCTCGTAATTTTATTTCAACTGGACGCGATTTATCTTCGGGCGATCCGTATCCATAACAGAATAGAGTTGGATACAGCCCTAGTAGTAGTTTTGGATTAAAATATTCATTAACAGGTTTCGATGAATGAGGAATTACGTAAATACTTTCGATATCCATCTGTTCAGTTGCTTTGTCATTTTTAATTTTGCGTAAAACATAATTTTTAATTTCGTCTGAAGTTACGGTGGATCCATTCACGTCGAGAACACCACTACAAAGGAAAAATACTTTAAAAATGACTTAGTTGCTGGCAGATCTTACCTGTTACTAATAGGAATGGTGTCAGAATTTGTGGATTCAGTCGGATCAGCTAATGGATCAGGAACATATCCAACTCTTTCAGATGAAGTTTCTTCATCACCGATCTTCTGTTCCATCGTTAACATGATGGCTTCTGGCACATCATCTTCAGGTAATTGATTAATATTATGAAGGTTTATCTCGACGTTTTGATAAAGTATGTTATTTTTCTTCAGCCAATGCAATGCTTCAGTGACTTTTTTCTTGCGGACGGTCAAGATCTTCTTAAGATGGACACGTTCAGGAGGATGTGCACCAACAAAAATCACTTTTAATGTATCACACAAATCATCAAGTTTCAGTGGTAAACAGTTAACGATATTCGGTAAACTTTGAAGAAAAGTAATACAATTGCCTTTCAATGCTGCTTGAGCAGTTGTAGTTGAGTGAAATGGTGAATGAAGTTTTATCACACAGCTATTATGACGATAAAGTGAAATTAGCTTTTCTTCTGGAATTGTTAATCCTTGTAATGCAGGAGGGATGTCGCCTAACCACATATTATTAGCAGGTGAAAACTTAGGAATGTTTCCTTTGGACAGAGAGTCGTGACATTTTTGGCAAATTGTGCACATCTTTACTGTATTTTGGTGGAACAAACCATTCACGTATAAGAAAATACCATTGTCATATTGAACATATGATGAATTACAAGTTGAGGTACCTAAAATAACTATATTTTTTATAATGAATTCCTAATTTATTACAATCATAGGCTACTTTGAGTGGGTCTCGTCCCTTGTATAACGCTATCATTCTCGGAGATTCCAATATCTTCATCAGCATATTGTACTGAAGATTTTTGGCTGGTTCTGATGAAATCCTTGAGCGCATCAGGAACTTTAAGCAAATCAATGTGAGGAATTTTCGAGACTGGTAATTTCTTCAACTTTTGCGTTTGCGTACGGACGTTGCAAACGGCACAAGTAGCTTCAGACAATGCTGACATAGACATTTTTTGAAGAAATTTCTGCAAGCAGCCCTCTTTAAGTTTACGGGAGATGGATTCGGGCCAAACCGAAGAAATAGGCGTTTTCTTGTTTTTTGTTATATCCTCGTTGTTTGTGAGATTGTGCATCCCTGGAGTGTCCCATAGTGCATTGGGTTCAGTTTCGTTCTGCTGAGCGGAGAAGTTTTGTTGCTGTGTATTTAGTGTATTAGATGTAGATTTTTCAACAATTCTTTTAGCTCTATTTGCTTGACTTCGCTTTCTTTGTTTTTCTAGTCGAATTTGACGTTGCTCTTCTGTTTCGTTCATACGACCGGATTGAGCCCGTTCTTTTACTTTTTTCAATCGAGTTTGACGGTCTTCCGCTGCTTCATTTGATCTGTTCGATTGATTTCGCTGTTTTTGCTTTTCCAATCGAGTTTGACGCTCTTCGGCTGTTTCATTTGACCTCATCGATTGAACCCGTTGTTTTTGATTTTCCAATCGAGTTTGACGCTCTTCGGCTGCTTCATTTGACCTGTTCGATTGATCCCGTTGTTTTTGCTTTTCCAATCGAGTTCGACGCTCTTCGGCTGTTTCGTCTGATCTATTCCTTTGATTTCGCTGCTTTTGCTTTTCCAGTTGGATTCGACGGTGTTTCATTGTTTCATTCACTAGATTCTCTTGACTTGGTTGTATTTGTTGTTCCATGGCACTTTGATGTTGTTCATGGATGCCATTCTGTGCTTCTCGTATTGCATCCGTGGCAGTTGATTGGGCGAAACTAGTTTCGTTGCTGTGTTCACTGCGTCGACGTCGACTGGGTGAAGATTGATATTCAGGAATTCGTACCTGGATGGGAGCATTATTCTTGAAAGTTCTTTTTTCAGGAGTCTAAACAAATAAATTTTAAAATTCTCACTTTCATATTTTGATTTCGATAACTTACCACAACTTTTGACATTGAATGGTGACTTATGTTATCTGAGTCATCAAATGCAGGAGGAGACATAAGAGGAACAAAATGATTGGGGTTCCATGTCATATTATTTTGTTCTCGCACATCTATCTCGTTTAAGACATGAGACCAGAAAATCGTGATACTACAATTGGCAATAATAGGTGAAGTAGGTCTGAAGATGTTATTTAGAATTTCCATATCTTCTCGAAAATCAATTCTTGGATAAATACTCCGTATATTACATCGAAGTAAATTGCATAGTGCAGCTATTTCGTACAATTCAGAATATGTATAATTTTTGCATACAGCTTTGATGGCAATATCTAGAGGTCCGATGAATTGTGAATACATTCTGGTATAATACGCTCCGTTTGCTAGAAGTTCAATAACTGTTCGAACTAAAATTGGTTCAAAACAAATTGCAGGAAAATATAGATAGAACATAAATATATATACCTCGTAATTCACTTGTTGTTATCATTGAATTGTTCATTAGAAGAAGGATTGAGTTATATAAACAATTTCCATCGCCAACGACTTCAACGGGAATAAGATGTTGTACATCATCTGTAGCCTTTCTAAGATATGTCTTAGCCACTGCATCTACCAAATATTTTCTCTCATCGAACACTTGATTAGGATTGAATTGAATTGGTATCATGAGTGGTTCAATCTATAATACATTCGTAATAATCTAATCATAATTCGAAAGAACTTACATTTTGAATCCGCTTTACTGTAGAAACAATTTCATCATAATACATTGCACTTTCAGAAGCTTTTTCCAAAAGTTGAAGCAACCTTGCAAACTTTTGGCTACGGTTCATTTCATTGCATCGCAAGCAAAAGTCACCCACACAATGTACCGAGCAAAACACGCATCGTGTATTCATCTTGAGTTCAATTTTAAAAAAATTACACTACAATCTACAATATAATAGATATCAATCAACAGAATCAGTTTCTTAAAACTATTCATAATCACGAAACATTCTACTCCTAGTGTCTGTATTAGGAAAGACAAAAACCACATATTTACTCGTTTGTTTCTTCTTCATTTGAGCTCGCTGACATTCTTACATACTGTTTCAGCAAATGAATAGTAGAAAAAAAAGAAAATAGCATCCTAAGTCTCGATATTCGAGTATAGAGTACCTTCGACACAACGACAATAACAGTAATTCAGTTTTATTTTTATTTCGAGTACATGAAAAAGATTCAGAACTTAATGACTGCAAACAAATAATTGCCAGAAAAGATACATCAGCAACATCATCATAAGGTAAAAATCCTTCAGACATATTTACATCGATGAAATAAATTATTCTCACATTTTAAAAACCAATTTTCTGTTATTCCAACCTAGATACTCATGAACAAACTCGAATATTTTCCGTTACAACATCATCAGAGAAAGATATTTCTAGTTCTGTTGTCTGTCAGACATTCTGGGTTTAGTTTGATCTTATAAATTTACATTGAAAGCAGTTTTTTCAGGTGAATAATCACCATTTTTATTTCGGTATTATGACAATATTATCCAATTGATTTGCTGGTATTCGTATCAAATTCACCGTGTAATATTCTGTTTACTTCATTATTTTTCATTTTAACAAAGGCGAAACATTGTATATACTGAAAAAGCTCATGTTTCAAATTGATATTTTTTATTATATTGATATCAAAGCGAAGATATTCTATATTTTTGATTGTGTTGTTTCATAATGCCTCCCCCCATGCCCCGATTGAACTATTTCTGATAAAAAAGAACTACTTTTTGAACACATTGATCACTTGTTAAATACATGAATTATATTGTGTGATATTTAATTTTTTAAAAGCATAGTATACAGCATGACAGAGATCTGCCATCAGAAGTTAGCTTCTCTTGGCAATATGCTGTTTTCATTCGATATATCTATCAATTATAAGTTTTTTTCCCATGGAGAAATGCAAGTAGTTAATGCTTATTCTCAATAAAATACACAACAATTTTAGTATTTATTATACGTCGAATCAATATCTCCGACGAAAACATTTAGACGTTGAGTTGCTTTGTTGTGACTCTTATTGTATTTAATACTACAGAAATAAATCTCTTGAAATGTGCTAAATCATAATTATTCAGATCTGTTGTCTTCTTTCATCTATAAATGTATCAACGATAATCATTGCACACAAGCTCATCAATGTTTGTCATCGTACGTGCTAGCAGTATCTAAAAAATAAATACAAAAAATTTCAATTAGAAAAAAATTATATAAACCCATGAGAATGGTGCAACATACGTTGTCCCATCTATTTATCAGTTCAGAAAATAACTCCTTTACATTAAATTTACACACTCACAGGGTCATAACGGTACATATGGATGATCTCATTAGCCATTGAATACTTTTTATTTCTCTTTCATATATATTCTTTTCAAACATTCTGTTATTTACATCATTGTAGAATGATGTCATGATTTGTCTCTTTTTTTATACACCCTCTTTGAAAGATTTGCTCACCCTTGATTCCATTCGTACTTAAGCTTGCTTCTGTTCTTATTCACGAATTGATTCTCTATCGATGTAAAAAAGATAAATTTATTATTTCTCTTTTACCAAGAAATAGAGCCACATCGAGATATTCACATAAAAATGTGAAAAAAAATCATAAAATAAATTCATCTTTTCCTGTTCTAAATAATTCGACAGGAATAGACTCGTATTCAGTACGCATGCGATCGTATTGCTGATCAAAAGATCAGACTCATATTCGTCATACATACGATTGTATTGCCAGTCGAAAGACCAGACTCGAATATACTTACGAGAAAGAATCTGATTGAATTGATGGCACCAGAGCAGCAAGAGCGGGAATCGAAGTCTTCAAAGACATAAAAGATAATGTATTTAATTGAAACAAAATATTGCTTGCTTTTTGATTGAAACAGTAGTTTTCAGTTATAATATATCGAAAATTTGCTAATAAGATGATTCAATCAAAATAGACACTGTAATATTCAAAATGTAGATCTATTGTAAAAAGAAAATTTCTTCGGCTCGCTCCCGTATACAGCTTCATATCTCTGCTTATCTTTTGAATAAGGTTTTTTTCTTTTATTGATTCGTATGAATAAAAAAATCGCTTATATATATTTACATAATGCTCAAACAATTAATCAATGATCATATAGCATAACTACTTTCTGGTTACCCTGTATCTCAATTCTTTAAATAGTTATTCATGGGCTCTGAGGATTTGTGATGGCGTTTCTTTAAAATAAAATGTGATATAATTACTTTTTTTACTTCTATCATCACGTTTATATAAAAAAACGAACGATTATCACGTACTTCATTTTTTAACTTTTCACTATCAATGTTCTGTCTTAATTTTGTTACAATCACTTAACGTCAATTCAGAGAATGTACTTTTTCTCTCAAATAAATTTACAGTCAGAAAAAGTAAAAAAGCTTTAGTGAAACTGTTCATCACGTCACTAGAAAGTAATTCTGACTATGTACAGCACAGGTTTTTATATAGAAGAAGCTGAGATTGATCTTTTAAGTTTTTTTTTCGACATTAAATCATTCCATCAAAATAGTTATACTATCCAATAAAAC